TGTTTTTAAAAATATTTTTTAAATTATTTTACAAATAACAAATATTGCAAAGTTTTGTAATTATTATTTTAGGTTTCGATTCATTCTGATAAATAACTAGTTTAAACATTTTTTTTTTTTTTGTAAACAGTTTGTATTTAGGTCAATGATGTAAAAATTATTTCAATTAAGCATTTTTATATTTAATATTTTTACCATATGTTGAAAATATTTTAATAATTTCAAAGATAAACTATTAAATATTTAATTATCCTTATAAAAACAGATGATAAATTTTTATTTTCGACTAAAGAATGGAGTATGTAAAAAAAATAAAATTTGAAATTATAATAAAATAATCATATATTATTTAAAACAATTAAGACAAATACAAACATAATAATACTATAAAATAAACTTAATACTGTAAGTCAGTTACAAAAAACATAAATAGGAACCAAATTTAATCAATGTTTAAAATTGATTCAAGTAAAGATGGACAACCGTCAACTCTATGTCCACGTAACTTCAATGAACTCAATCTAGATTCTAAAATTCCTTTGTCTTTCCCAGTGATTTCCCACAAGTAACTACACATTTGAAGCAATGGTATGTAATAGTACAATAAATCAACATCACTGATTCCATCAAAACGTCTTATTGCTATTTCAGAATATTTGATGGCGTCTTCTAGTAAATTTGTATCTGCAGTACAGCAAGCAGCAAGACGACAAAGAGCAACAATAACAGCTGGATGTCTTTCGGTATGAATTTTATTTAATATTTTAAAATTATTTTCTAATAGTGGTTTGGCCTCATAATATTTTTTGTTAAATAAATATTTTTTGGCAAGTTTATCATCATTTCCAATTAAAAACATTTTAAATCCTAAACTTTCTAGCAGTGTAACATTTTCTGAAATAATTCTTAAAAAATTTTCCAAGCTTGATAGTCTTGTTTGTATCAGATCTGATGAAAAGTTTCCTGTAAAAATTAATGTTAAACTTGAATGAATAACTTGATGATAAATAAACTTAGGTAATCAACTATTCATTTGTACTTTATTCCTTGAAATTTTAAAAAAGAATGTAAATGTAAATGTCATAGAAAAAAAGAAATAAAAAAATGAACTTACCAATCAAAACTTTACGTGGAAATGAAATTTTTGTAGTCAATTGTGGATAATTTTGACGTAAATTTAAAAACAATTCTAAAAAATCAGAATAACGTCTTTCCACGAATATTGCTTGGGTATCATTATCAGATCCTTGGTGATAAATTTTAATATCATATACAACATATTTTTTTTGATTTTCTTTGTCATCAACTGTTCTAGCAGATACAATATCAAATTTTGTCCTCATGTATGAAGTAATAATTTTAAAATATATATATAACTTACAAAATTTTTTTAATTTTAAAAAATTTATTTTTTACAAAATTTGTGACAACATAATTATAAAATAATTGGTAACTGAATTACTTATTTATTAATTGAACAGAAATAATTTTTATTTTGTATTTAAATAGTTAAGTGTCATACAATTATATTGAAATTTACAATGTTTTAAAACATGTAAATAAATTCAATTTTTTTTTTTTTTTTTTTTTTTGAATACAAGACAATAATTTTACATAATATATATGTATTAAGCTTTTAACAGATTTTTTTTTACAGATAATATACTTTTTAAAAAGTTATTTTTATTTTAAATATTGGTTTAATATTAAAAGCGTAATTTTTTAATGCGAAAACAAAAATTTGGTGGGATTAATTTACATAATATTCAAGTACGTAAAAACAAAAAAAAATTTAAAAAAAACAATAAAAATACATAAAAAAATTCTTAAAGCTTTGTCAGTTATAAAAATAAATATTAATCTAATTAAGCTTGATCGTTAAATAATACCATATTAAAATATTAAAAATAAAAAAAAAAAAAAAAAAACTTCGATAAACAATAAGTGAAGTTTATACCTTTAATTTATATTTTTTTTTTGATAAAAATGAAATGGCAACAAATTGTATTAAAAATCATTTTTTAAAATTTTAGTTAATTAAATTAATTCGTTTTTTTTTTTTAAATAATTACTGTTTTTATCATTTTGGCAACGCAATTAACAGAACTTACAATTGTGTTTTTTTAAAAATATTTAATAATTTAATACAAAAAAAAATTTTAGTACTATCATTGCAGTGGGATTTATTGTTATCCCGTCATAGAGTATTACAATACAAAATGTTTTGGATGAT